TTTTGTGGTTTTGGAGAGCAAATCGATCGAGGTTGTTAATTTGATTTTTTCTTTTGGTTTTCCATTTTGTTGTATAAACCCGATTTCTGTAAACTAGGTCTGACAACTCAGTTGCTTCGGGCGAACACAAAAGGACCCGGATGATCCGGGTCCCCGTGTCAAGGCATCCGGGCCATTGGGCTCGGACTCGACTAGTTAAGCCAGGGGGCTATAGGCCAACCCAGGGAAATAATAAAAAAAAAAAAAAAAAAAAAAAAAAAAAAGAAGAGGGAAAGGGGGTTCAAGCTTGGGCCCAGCCCAAACTGAAGAACTAGGCCGAGTTAGTGGGCCGATGGGCCAACGGCCCAGGCCGAGCCACTGAGCCGCCGAGTCAAGCCACTGAGATGAGCCGGTTTACTTTAAAAAAAAGGGGTTGACTGAACTAGCCAGTAGGTTTGACTGGTCGGTTCAGTTGCCAAATTAGTTAAGAATTAGAAAGTAAAACCGGTTCTAGAATCAGGAAGAAAAGACCTATTAGACTGAGTTGGTTCGAGGGTTTGGGGAGGTTTGGTTCAACTAGAAATTTAGTATTTTTGATTGTCGGCCCTGTTCAAGGTGAATTAAGGGTTAATTGGCCAGTTCAACCTTATTTTGACCTATTCTTGACTGGTTCATAATGGTTCATAGGGTTTTTGGGCCTTCTGAATTTGATTTTGAGGTTTTGGGACCAAATCAGTTCAGGTTGAGGTAGTTTTAGGCCAGTTCGAGGGTTTTGGAGGTCGGTTCATTATGGTTCGAGGGTTTTAAAAGCTGATTTACCATTGTTAAGGGTTGTTGGTAAAATGTGGAGTATTAGTGAGTCGTGTGGGTTCTAGTGATGGGTTATGGTGCCTTGGGATGTGTGCCAAAGTATCGGGATAGGATTTGAGACGATTCAGGCTATTAAGCCCATTTCTTATGCCAGTTTTGGTGTTGGTGATATTTTGTGTAGTTTTAATTACAGATACGACTGAGGAGGTGCACCTAGAGCAGTGAGTCGGGTGACGGTAACTTGGGACTTCTTTATTATCTTGGTTTCAGTACTGTGAGTAATGATACCTTTTATATGCATGCATTTTTTTACTGTGATTTTGGCATGACGGATTTATATTTTATAAACTGTATTTCGATGTATATACATACGGGATATGTTATGTGATTTGGTATACGGTCAGTGAGTTATGTTGGTATGCGATATTAGTTTTGAGATTATGAACTGTATATATATATATATATATATGTATTTGTTTGGATTATATGTGGAGAGTTGTGTTATGTATTAAGATTGGGTGCCCTGATGGGCGACTTTGGAGGGGGGCGATGTGGACCCGATCGGTTGATGACCATTTGATATGTTATTGATTATGGTTATGGTTGTGATGCCTATGATTGAGATTGGAATCTTGTGATGTGATAATTACACTCCCACATATGTATATTTTGATATTGAAACTGCTCACTATATTTATACGTATGTGTTATAAATAATTTTGAAACTTGTGGTATGATACATATCCTAACATTCATAAGTTAGGTATCATTTGTACTCACTGAGTTTTGCAACTCATCCTTTTATTATCATTCCAAATCGGGTTGGTTGTTCGTAGTCCACTTAGTGGAGATTGAGCTGAGTTTAGAGATTATGATTGACGTACGGGGCATGTTTCACTATATTATCATTTTGTACTCTAGATTGCTCCTTTATTTTCTCATACAAGATTCTGGTTTGTATTCAAGATTGTAAAATTATGAATTTAAGTTTGGTACTGCTGATGTGTTATGACTAATAAATTATGTAAGATGGGTTTTGAGACTGACTAGAGTTTGTGGGTCCTAGTGCCGGTCATGGGTTCAGGTTTGGGTCGTGACACAAATCTGGATAAATTATATTGGGAGGAATGGTAAGATAATTTTATTTGACCCCTACCCAACTTATTTGGACAATACTATTCTTACTACCATCTCTAGCAATCATCTCTACCACCTCTGTCAAATAAAATAATTATCCAGAATATTATTCTGTAAGGATAAAATCCTACCCTATTTTACCTTATCCTATCTAACTTATGTATGGAAAGACTAGTTATGATGAGTAAGAATGTGAACATATTAAGTCTGTCCAGAAAGTTTTCACAAGTGAAATGCAATTAGTCAAAAAAAAAGTGGGAAAAGAAGTAACTAGCTTCTCTCCCTCAAAGTAAGAAGGGGATTGGTGTCTTCCTTGATCTTCCTTTCTCTCTGCATAAAAGAGTAGTAATTACCTAGTAAAAGCAAATAGAGATCACTAATTATGGATGGTGGTCGAGGATAGGACACGTTCAGTGCCTTGCCCTTGTCACCTTCGCCGAAGACTACAAGTGACGGGAGGGTGCGTGTGGGTACGAGAAATTAGGAAATTAGAAAGTAATTGATTGGCATAACAATTTACTTAAATTAATTCATTTTAAATAAGAAAATAATTCGTATAAATTAATTCATTTTCAACATTTAATCCTTATTTATTTTATTTTTACATATGTATACATATAAAAAAAATAATTTATGTATATTATTCCCTTTATAATAATTAATTCTTGTCTCCTTCTTTTACATGACAAATATGAAGATTAGAAAGGAATTGATTTACATAAATTATTTTATGTATATATATATATAAATGAAATAATTTAGATAAATTAATTAATTCCATATTATATATATATATATGATAAGATGTATCCTAAATGTTTGAGAATGGGACATTTAAAAATTACATTTTTACAAATCGGTTCTTTGTTGTAATATTAGAAGATTTATTTATTTATTTTCTTCATAATGTTTGAAATAATTAAAGCGTCATTGCATAAAGAGCTGATGGAAGCAGAAGGCTTAACAAATATTTGCCTCGAAGGTTGTAAGTTTTTGCGGTCTTGTCATTTGCAAAACAACCGTTGACGTCTTGTCATTTGCAAAACATAAATATCAATAGTAATAGTAATACCACTAGATTGCCAATTATGCAAAAACGTAAAACATTTCAAGAAATGTTTGACAAAATTAAAAACTACACCAAACGTTAAAACGCTAAACGAATTGAACCAATTTAGATTTTTTAATCAAAGCGAATCAGAAATCTCCTAAACAGATAAACAATTCTTGCTAAACCAATCGAATCGAAGTATTTTTCTTTTTTCAATAATATTTACAATTTATTCGACAAAAGTAGAATTAATTTTAAAAACTAAAAATCAAACCAAGATATTTTTGAATCAAACTGACAATAAGAAGTTATGGATTCAAATTTCTGAGATCGAATGGACCTATTCACTAACATGTTCTATATATAATTTGCTCGTTGTTTATTCATTCGTCTTCTTCCTGATGTTTTAAATAATTGAAGGATCGTTGCATAAATAGCTGGTAGGAGCAGAAGGGTTTAAACGTTTGTAACCTATCTCGAAGGTTTAAGATTTTAGTTGGTGTATTATATGTTTATTTAAACATTAGTTACTTAATTGAAGTATTAAGTGACTCTTTGTTTATATTTTCAGAGCTATGTACTCCTATTTTTGTAATTAAAATTTTAAAAATATTATTTTTTTAATTTATATTTCATGAACATATATTTCAAAAAATAAATTATACACTTCTGAGATTGGACATAGTTAAATTTCAAAAATATAGTTGAATTAGGCAAAAATGAATAAATGTCATGATAGTGTATCTAGCACCTCTTAAAATATCATGTCTTATATATAGGCTTAAATTTTAAAAATATATAATTTTAAGATCATTAAAAAATGCCAAATATTTTCTAAATCTTCTTGCATTCGTACTGGATTAAACTTTGTTACCTTTGCAATCTATTTAAACAAATTGATAAGATATCATACTTATCTGTAGTAGAAAGGTGGCTGTCGTATGTTTTTGTAAGTGCGTCTGACTCACAAAAATGACAAGAGACACTTATGAAATTATAATTTCAGCCATGCAATCATGTGGAATGATATTGATATTCAACTTTTATTTTTTTAAAATAAAAAAGCCGTCTGATGGACCTCTGTGCGTTTGTCGCTCTCTCTCCCGAGAGTCCAAAAGAATCCCTGGTTCCACTCCAACCAAATGATAAAGTCGCAATGGTACCACTTGGGGAACTGTCCAAGCTCACAATCTGGCAATGGAGTCAGCACTTGCTCAGAGCCTCCGCAAGCTCCTTCTCATCCTCTCTGTTGTCCACCACTCGCTGCCGCTCTGCTCCGCCGCTCAAACTCCTCTCTTCCCCACAGAAGCCCTCCCTACCAAATCCGGCTACCTCCCGGTAAATTCCGCCACTGGCTCTGCCATTTTCTACACTTTCTATGAAGCTCAAACCCCCTACTCCTCTCTTCCCCAAACCCCACTTCTCATTTGGCTCCAAGGAGGACCCGTTGCTCCTCCTTGTTGGGCAACTTCTACGAGCTCGGTCCATGGCGAGTTTTTCAGGGGCAAAACGCCGAACAGTTGGTGCTCAACCCAACTCCGGTTCTTGGAACAGGATATTCGGCCTACTCTTCCTCGACAACCCAATCGGACTGGATTTAGTGTTGCTTCAACTCCGGAAGAAATCCCTAGGAATCAACTTACTGTTGCTAGACATCTCTTCACCGCGATTTCCTCCTTTATTGCCTCAGACCTATCTTTCAAATCGCGACCAATTTATGTTACTGGAGAGAGCTACGCGGGAAAGTATGTGCCAGCAATTGGGCACTACATTTTGAAGAAGAATCCTCAATTGCCTGTGTCGAAACGGGTGAATTTAGCTGGTGTCGCTATAGGGAATGGGTTGACTCACCGGTGACACAGGTAGCTAGTCATGCTACGAATGCTTATTTTTCTGGATTTATCAACGAGAGGCAGAAGATCCAGCTGGAGAAACTTCAAGATCAGGCCGTTGAATTAACAAAAAAGGTAACTGGAGAAACGCAACAGAGGCCAGATTTGACGTATTGAATTCTTTGCAAACCATGACAGGATTTGCCACTCTTTATGACTTCAGAAGGCTAATCCCTTACCAAGAAAGTCTCGTGAGCAAGTTTTTGAATCAGGCAGAGGTGAAGAAGTTACTGGGTGTGAATGAATCGTTGGTGTTCGAGGTGTGTAGCGATGCCGTGGGGACCGCGCTGCAGGAAGACGTGATGAAGAGTGTGAAGTATAAAGTGGAGTTCTTGGTGCAGAATACTAGGGTGTTGCTTTACCAGGGGCAGTGTGATCTGAGAGATGGAGTGGTCTCAACTGAGGCTTGGGTGAAGAATTTGAAATGGAAAGACATTGGCAAGTTCATGGAAGCAGAGAGGAGAGTGTGGGAGGTGAAGGGGAAGCTTGCCGGGCATGTGCAGAAATGGGGGAGCTTGAGCCATGTGGTGGTGTTGGGTGCCGGGCATCTGGTGCCGACTGACCAGCCGGAGAATTCTCAGGCAATGATTGAAGATTGGGTTCTGGAGAGGAATTTGTTCGCAGATGGAAAGGATCAAAATTTGAGTTTCCGAGGTGCATCGTAAAATTTTGTTGTGCATTCTTAGAAACGTTCGTACCGCATGTTATTGTTGCTGCCTCTGCTGCAGCTACGGCGGCTGTGCTAATTTATGAAGATGTAACTCAAAAAAGTCTTGGCCAGGCCTTATAGACGGACTGGCTGGCACCGACGTTTGATCTGTACTAGCAATAAATAAGAGCCACATTTTTATTTAATTAGATATACAAAAATTGTGAAAGTATTTTTTTTATTTTTAATTATCTAATAATATTAAGTCTCAAATACATTTTTTTATGAATTATAAATGAAAAACAACTTTTTTAATCTCACCTTCCCCTAACGTTTGCTAAAAGCACTAATTCCCTCTCTTTTAATGTATGTTTCTGTTTCTCCCTTCTCCGCTGCGCCAAACGGTCGCACAGCCGCTACTGTTGGAAACGACGTCAAAAATAAAATTGAAATACCACAATTACCCTTATTGAATTTCATGTTTCTCGCATTTCCATCCAATTTGATCGTGAACTTTAATGGAAACGAAGTTAATAATGGCTGGAGGTGGGTTGTTCAGTTTTCATGACTCACGAGGGTTTAAATTAGTGTAATAACCTTGGCCAAAAAAAAAAAAAAAAAAATTTGAAGTGGGCCGTCGCCAGCTCACTTATTGAAATTCACCGAATCGAGCCTTAATTTAGAAGTCACACATGGTTTCTTGCATGCAATCCCCATTTTCAATGGCTACAAGGTAGGCTTCCTTTATCAAATTGAGGTGTGGAGTGGAAAATCAAGAGAACGAAGGCTTGGGTTTTTCAGGAGTTCCACAGGAGAGCTGGATGAATCAATTGCAAATTTGAGAAGTTTCAGTTGTTTTTCCTCCAATTCGAATTGAGGATCAACTCTTCGAAGATAATTCTACAGTTTCCAGCCATTGATTAATCCAGATAAGTGGTGAATTGCTTGTAATTTGGGGTTTAGGTGAGTTAGGTTTGGTATCTGCAAACTGAGTTTGTCACCTGAGTTTTTGGGTAAGGAAGACAGACCTAGCTAACAGTCAGGTTTGTCTTTGGCTGCCCTGGTCGATCTGGTCCAGTCCAGTCCAGTTGGGGATAGAACTGACTGGTTCGAGGGTCTAACTGGTCCAATTGGGAACCATTGGACTGGTTCCTGAACCAATACACAAGACACAATTGGGTTAACTTGGGTTAAGGTTCTGAGGGTGCCAATTCAACAGGATTTTGGGTGTTTGGGTGGAGAATTGGCCAGTTTAAGGGTTAGAAGGCCAGTTCAGTGATTTGTGCACCCAGTTTCGATGTGATTCTTGCATCCTTCCAAGAAGGTTAGGCCGGTTCTAGAATCGGGGGTGAGGTAGAATAGGTTGAGTAGGTTGAGGGTCATGGGAAGCACCGGTTCACTAGGAATTTAGTAGAACAATAGTTGAACAGGGCGATTTTGGTGATGTAATGGTCGGTTCAGTGTTGTAAGGGCCCAACTCAGGGCAAAGTCTTGGTCAAGGGGTGAATTAATTTCGATTCTATGACCAGCAAGGCCAGTTCAATCTAGATCTATAGGATTTAGGGCTGGTTCACCCTAAATTAATTGAATTTAGTGCCGGTTCAGCCTTAGTTCATGAGAAACATAGCTAGTTCAGCCTAGTTTCATTGATAAAATGATTAGTTTAATGGGGTTTTCTCGAGCATTTTGGTTGGTTCAGCCTAGTTCCATGTAGTTTGCAGCCAATTCAACCTAGTTTACGTGGATTTAATCATGGTTCATGGAAATTGGGGTCGGTTCGACCCAGTTCAATGGAGTTTTAGTATAGGTTAGGTTGGTTTTAATTGGTTCATGGCCGATTTGATTTGATTATAGGGTTTTGGGGCCGATTTATGCCAATTTATGAATTTCGAAGGCTGGTTCGTCTCGGGTCGAGGGGGGTTGCTAAGGACAAGATCATATTTCGATTTAACGAAGATCGAGGGTTGAGTAAAGATATTCTAGGCGTCTCGGGGTGCATGTTAGGTGTCGAAAAGGGAAGGTCCAGGACCAATGTCGAGATAGAGTTTTTTGGGGTGAGTTCCAATTTTGGTTTTTGACTATCTTTTGGTAAATGTAGATACACTTAAGGAGATGCGCCTCAACTAGTGAGCCACCACTTCGAGCTTTAAGATTCTAGTTTTGACGAATACTGTGAGTGATATTGTTATTCTTTGTATGTGTGTTTTAAAATCTTGTTGCTCCATTATCTGATAAAAATCTTATTTTTGATTTCTAAAATTTATCTTAGGACATGTATTGTGGCATACGTGTTGAACTTTGCAAAATGTTCAGTATTGCACAAAATGCCTCTATTAAATATATATATATATATATTTCTTTGTGATTTATGAACCTGCATGTCAAGAGTACTTTGATTTTTGACTCTAACGAACACGATAGTGTTCTGACACTACATGCCTTTTGTAATTTTAATATGAGATTCGTGTATGAGATGTGGTATATGATATGTGGTTCTTTGATTCGAGTGTCATAGCCGTTGTGTGACAAGATTTATGATATGTTCCGTACTCTGGCATGTGCTATATTCAAAATCGTGTTTTAATAAATTATGTTATTAATTGAGACATATTCGGTGTACTGTGTCCCTTGCATATCTCCGCATGATAGAATAGTATTATCATTCACTGGAATTATATTTATTCATTTTTTTCCCATCTCCAGATTATAGTTCTGATCAAGTGTTGAGGCACTTCAATGAGTGGGTACCAGTTTTTTACGCCGACAACAAGGCATAAGTAATTTGTAAATCTTTTATTTATATTCTTGTAACTCCATATACTACCTTGATAGAGTTTGATTTATTTATGAATTAAATTTGTATTTAACTAGTTTAACTAAAATTAATTTGAAATAGTAGATGGGTGGCTTTCATACTAATTACTGTGTATTTAAAACTTACAAAGACTAGCGTGTTAGTCTTAATACGGGTTATGTGCTGGATTGTGGTGTAACAATTAGGTTGGCAGTTAGGTTTTATGTGTTTGTTCTTTTTCGGTTTTTCTTGTCTATTTGTGCTAATTTGTCATTCTATGACGTCATTTAGTTTTTTTTGAAGATATATCTGACAGGCAACAGGGGAGGTCAGAACTAATTCTGAAATATAGAGGAGCTCAGGGCTGTTTTGGCAAACCTCAGGGAGGTCAGCGCGAAACCCAAAAATTGAATGGCTTTTGCTGCGGAGCACCCCCGCTAACAGCGCAGAGTGCCCAGTTAGAGCACGGTAATAACGTTGGGTGTCTACGAGGTTTCGAAGTTCAAACCCTCTAATGCGAGTTTCTTTCCGTGAATGTCCCTAAAGCAATTTGGCTATGAGAAGCCCTCAAATTTGCAGTATGTATCAATCCCATTTCGTCGAACATTACGTGAGCATTTTCTAAATTCCTTCGCTTTGCACTCTTGCGCAGCAGAATCATCCGTAACAAGTTGGTTTCCAAGCCGGAAAAGATGAGCTAACTGGGAATCTGAGTTGTTGTCTCGCTCAAGGGAGCATGCAGACATCACGCTTGACCGAAGCCCGGTTTGTCTCCAATCCCCTTGTCAACTAAAGAGAGATGTATAAACTGGTTGTCCTAAGTAAGAGGCCCGTAGGACTGTTGGTCTTTAAGAAACTTATCATATTTACATCTGAAATTCCGCAATTTTCTTCTGTAGGAAATTTTATACGCCCTTACATTTTCGTTGTTGATGGATTATAACAATTTATCCTCTAAAAACGACAAAACAGAGGAAGAATGTAAAGAAATTCGTGTAATATATTGGAAGTCAGATGTGGACTTGAATTGGAATGGCAGGGTTTCTAGTATAGGAGCTTCTACAAGTAGTGATGAGCGCACATGAACTTTTTGATATTGAAGTCAAATAATTTGATATTTATGCATTCTTGGTTTCAACTTAAACTTTTGCTTTCAAAGTATTTTTCCTACCGTCTCTTTGTTTAGATACAAAAATATTTGTAAATAGTAATAAGTAACAAAAGGGGTACGACTTTCCAGGCAACCTATTTTCTCATACCAGATTGAAGTGTACTAATTCCGTTGAGTCATTTTATAATTCCAGCTGTGTCTACGTAGCAGCCTACCTTACAACCTGAATGAGAGCAGTGGTATGATGGTTTGTGGTGAAAGAGCCAGCAAAGGCTACCCTAGATTAAGGTATCGTCTTCTATTTCACTTATAATAAGTTCATGGGGACTGTTTGGTAATTTGTTGTTTGTTTGTGGTTTCTATCTGTAATCATTTCCTCTCTGTTGTCTATTTGAATTATTGGAGATTTCAATGACTGATTTGAGAATATCTTAGTCTGAAATCATATATTGCTTCTTTTATGAAATTATTTCCTATGTTGGGTTTTAGTTTGTTCACATAGTGCATTAGTTATGTCGATTAAAATATTTTGGAATTGTATTAGAAATGGAGAGATTCTGTGAAGTGATTTTCCCCTCTTTATAATATGTATCTGTCCCAGTAAAGTAGATTCAATGAAGAAATAAGACTTCTAATATGGCTCTACAGTAGCACAGAAAATAGAATTTCTGGCTAGATGAACTTATGAACAGATCCATTACTAGGTTCAAAATTGTATATGACAAATTTAAACTTGATTGTTAGTCTCATCTGAAACCTTTGTGTTTTCTCAACACATAACTGTTGCTTAGAAAATATGTTTAGGAGCTCCACCAATTTCCAATCATCCTTATGGTTGGCATGCATAATGAAATGTAAGACACATATTAAATCTAACAATTTGGGAAGTGTTATCATTGTCAAATTGAACTGATAAATCCAGAAATTTCTCATAAGCTATTATTAGTAAATTTGTTTCAAATTGCCTTTGAAATTTGCTTAATTGCTTGCCCACTTACCAGATGGAATGTATCTTGGCCAGAGAGAATTCTACTAGGTTGTTATTCTGTGCATTGAAGTCTTGTCCATAAATATCAATAGATTGTATTTGGCCTTACTATTGGATTGCCAA